TCGCCGCGGGAGGGAGCGGAGGACACCGGTAGCCTGGCGCCTCGCGCCGCCCCCTTCCAGCTCCGACATGGCTCCCCTGCCGGTGCCCACGGGGACTGAGAAACACGGGCCAAGTGAATGTGGGGAGGACTCGGGCGTCCACGTGATGCCAGGGTGACAGCGGGGGGCGGGGAGCGGGGCTCACCACGCAGCTCTAGGGCGCACGAGTGCGGAGGTGCCCAGGCAGCAGGTGAAGGTTCCCCTCCCCGCCCCCCGCTGTCAGTCAAACCAGCGTGAGGCCCTCCCTCGAGGGAGACCCTGAGCCGCTGCCCCCGGGAGGAGGCACTGGAGGGAGCCCCACTGGCGAGAATAACAAGGGTGACGGGATCGGGGGGCCCTTCAATCTGTAAATCCAGTTACTGTTCTCAGAGAATCACTCATCTGCCTGGTCCTGACCCTCCGGCCCTGGGCCAGTGCAGGAGACCCCACCAGGCCACTGCTGACCAGAGGCGCCCAGGCGGGGGACCCCGCCAGGTCAGCCTGTACCAGGGGCCCTGACCTCCAGTCCCCTTGGCTCCATGAGGGTGGTACCCACTCGGCAAAGCCGGGGCCTTCTCCCCTCGGGTCTCGGTTTCCTCGGAGGAAACCTGAGGAGCCAGCAGGATGGCCTGGGAGGGAGGGCCCGTCACAGCTCTCTCAGCTGGCGTCCAGGAAGGAGGGAGACAGGCCTCGCCTGAGAGCTCATGGGGTCCAGCTTCCTCCACACCAGACCCACAGACGGGGTGGCCTGATCCCCTGGCTGCACTCCAGCCCCAAGGCTATGTCCCACTTGACAGCCCAGGTCGTAGGAGAGACGCCTCTAGCCCAGCCCACCCAGTGCCACGGTGGTCCGGTGGTCCGGCTCAGGCCCACAGGGGTGAGTGCGGGGCCAGGGCCCAAGCCCTTCCAGGCGGGGCCTTGCTCAGTAGAAGTGGTGGCCACTGTGGGGCCAGGGGTCAGCGGGCTGGGAGGGAGGCATGTTCTCCAACCACGGTCCCGGCCAGCCTCCCTCCCTGCCTGGTCCACTGTGGGTCCCTGTGGAGGGGGGCGGGGCGGGGGGGGGCAGCTATTTGCGTCATCGCCTGGGCATTTTACCACGTGACAACCCTGCTCACACCAGAATCTGGTCTCAGGACCAGAGCTTAGGATTCCCACCCAAGTTCCCACCTCGCTCTTCCTGGGCACCTTTAACATCACCACTCAGCCGTCAGCCTGGCTCAGCCGTGGAGCATCCACCTAAGAACCAGGAGGTCGCGGTTTGATTCCCGGTCAGGGCACATGGCCGGGTTACAGGCTCGATTCCAGTGTGAGGTGTGCAGGAGGCAACCGATCCATGATTCTCTCTCATCATTGATGTTTCCCTCTCTTCCTCTCTGTAAAAAAAATCAATAAAATATATTTTTTAAAAAATTTAAAAATAAAATAACCACTCAAAGTAAAGCCTCTGAGAAATCAATGACCTCCGAGCAACCACCTTACAAGTACAGGCTGTGACCTGGGGCGGAGGGCTGCCTCGCCCACGGCCCCCGATTCTGGGATCTGCAAAGTAATACATCTCTCGACTTTACTTCCTTTGTGTGAGTTTATTGACACGGCGTCTTCATGCAAACAGCCCAGAGCTTTCCCTTCCCCGCCTGGGAGCTCGGACGTCCACCTGGGTGGGTGGCTTCTGCCTCCTG